CCGGGAAATTATTCCTCATTTGTATGATCTGTGAGATCAATTTTGCAAAGGCATGGTTCCGTGTTGACAGCATGCAAACATTGGACCATTTAGAGGAAGCATCAATGAGCACCATGAAGTACCGAAACGGCCCCGTGAGGGGCTGAATTGGACCGCTTATGTCCCCTTGGATACGTTCCAAGAACACGGGGATTTTCATCCCTCACCTTGAGGGGCGATGGCCTAATGACTAACTTCCCCTTAGCGCATGCGGAGCACACGAAATCATCGGGATTCGGGAAGTTCTTCACGTTAACATTATGGCCATGCGAGTTATTAATTATATTTCTCATCATCCTAAGTCCGGGGTGGCGTAACCTATAGTGCCAGAGGCATAAGAGTTCAGAGCTTCTAAAAACGGTCTTGAGGGTAGTGTACACAGGCAGTGCTAATATTTTAGTGTAGTATAGCCCTGTGTCGAACGAAGGAAGCCTTTCGATAACATGTTTACCATTTGCATCCCGCTTTGTGATAAGTAGGCACTCCTTGCCGTTCTCATCATCGGTCTCAGCATGAAAACCATTGGCGTGGATGTCTCTAAAGCTCAAAAGAGTACGAGTCGACTCCGGGTACAACAACGCATCATTAATGATCAAAGTTGTTTCCATAGGAAGTATAATAGTGGCTCGTCCGGAGCCAACTATGTGCGAACCGCAGCCGGCGATTGTCATAATACTTCCCGGAGATTTTTTAATAGACTCAAAGTACTTAGTTTCTCGTAAAATGGTATGTGTAGTTGCGCTATCAGCAAGGCACGTTTCTTCCATTCGGGCGCCACACGCGTTCTAAAATATGACATATAATTAATGCAATGAGGAAGACGCTACATTAATAATAAATGCACACATTCCAGAACATAACATACTATCATGTATAAATAATGGAATAAATGAATAAATGTCATCCAATTGCCAAAGTAAAGAATAAGTGTATGCTCTCATAGAGCTTACAACCAAATCGAATTTATTCGAATTTATTGTATCAAATCACGGAATCATGATAACCAAAGGGGTATGCTAAGTAGACTCGGTGAAGAAGCCATTGACCTCAGCCGCAATCTCCATACTAGTGAGTTGATTCTCCTTAGAAATCATCTTGGAGGCAGCATCAACATCTAGTTGCGGCACCGCCGAGGCCACCATGTGGTCAACCTCCATGGCAATGTTGGTGTCACTAGAGACAGCCAAAGCCACCGCGATGGGCACCACGGGGGTCGCCGCGATGGGCGCAGCAGGGGGCGTAGAGATCATCACGGGTGCCGCCATGGGCGCCAGTGGTGCTCCCTCCTGAACCAAGGCGAGGTGCGTCTCACGCGCCTTCCGGGCCTTATATGCATCAACGACCTCCTGTGGTGCGCGACACTGGCGGGAGAAATGCTCCACCGAGCCACACCGAAAGCAGTCCTGAGGTCTCTGCCCCCCCTTGCCCGGCTTTTGCTGCTTAGCCGGGGCGGAGGGCTGAGGGCCCTTCTTCTTGCCCTTGCGGCCCCTCTTCTTCCGTTGAGGCTTGCGAACTTTGAGAGCATTCACCTCCTGGCGAGAACTCCCCCCAAGTGGTTGCGCGGCAAAGTTCTTTTTCAGAACCTCGTCCTGCGCCTCTGCCACCTGGAGGACGTCAATCAACTCTGAATACCTCGTGTAGTTGCTCTGGCGGTAGTTCCGTGCGGACAGGACCGCGTCAGGGTGGAAAGTGGATAGGGTTTTCTCAATCTTCTCAGTGTCGGTAATCTGAGTACCACACATATGAAGAGTCGTACAAATTCGGTGTAGAGCCGAATTGTACTCCCCAACCGTCTTGAAGTCCGCAAACCTCAGACGGATCCACTCTGCCTCTGCACGTGGCTTAACAGCGTACTTCAGCCGCTCAAACCGCTGCTTAAGAGCGGTCCAAAGGCCAGAAGCACTCCGTTCAGCCATATACTCGTCTTTCAGAGTAGGTGACAGGTGATGACGAAGAAAATGCAGAGCCTGCGCATTCTCAGTTTCAAACTTGGGATCGGTGGGGGCCAGCTGGGTCCCCTTACTGATCGCCCTCAGGAGGGTTCTGCCCTGGAGAAAAATCTCACAGTCCGAAGCCCATGACAGGTAGTTCATCCCCGTGTGGGCCAACTCAGCAAACTCCTTGTGGACAATTCCGACCATCTGCAATTTATGCAAAAATCATGAGATTACAACAGGTAATCTTTTGCACAAATGCGATGTTGATAAACTTATTCAATTAAAATGACGTTCCAATATTTAAAACATGTTGTTATATGACTTACTAAATGATTAAGAGTGCTAAACAATTAATCTACAACAGTAAAATCATATAATAATATCATGTTACAAAGGATAGCATGTTAAGCGCATCTCGTATGTCAAAACTAGCCCAAAAATTGAATTTCCGAGGCATTTTTAAGCCCAAATACGTGTTTTCAGTGAAAACAGACAGTTCCAGAGGCTTCTACGCGAAATATTACAGCAGGAATAAAACTTGCGTAAAATCTGGAAACTACAGGGGCTAAATTACAAAAATCCCGCGCTACAGCCGGCGCCCCCTATTTTTGATGGAGGGATCCCCACAGCCGCGGCCCATCCGGCCCAGGAGCCAGCCGGGCCGGCCCAGCAGCCGGCGGCCTTTCCCGTAGCGACGCTAGGGTTTCCCCTAGCGCCCGCGTCGGGGTGCGGCGGCGGCGCGCACGCGGGCGCGGCCGGGAGCTGGCCAGGCGCGCGTGGCTCGCGGAGCGGCGACCAGGGCCGGCCAGTGCAGCCAGGGGCCACGGCGCAGCGCGGCCGGCGCGACCAGGGGCCACGGCGCGGCGCGGCCAGCGGCCATGGCGCGGCGCGGCGAGCGGCCACGACTCGTGTCGGTGGCGGCGGCCACTGCTCGCGGCGGCGAGCGCGCGCCAGTAGGCCTGCGCGGGCACGGCGGCCCTCGAAGCAGGGCGTGGCGGCTGCGCGTGCAACGGGCACGCGAGCGCGGCGACGGCAGCTGCGCGCGGCGACGGCAGCCAGCAGGGAACGCGAGCGCGGCGTTAGCAGGACGTGGCGGCGGCAGCCAGCGGCGTGACGCCGACGACTAGCGGGGTCGCTACCAGTACGTCTCGGGATGCGATCTTTGTCGCGTTCATCCGAAACTCCGACGGCGCATGGCACATCTGGTGCTTTTGCGGCGGTACCGCGACCATCTGGATCGCGATGCGTACCGACTCCCTATAGTGCAGTCAACAAGTTCCTCTTAGTCCAAGAACATCGACATTGGTCGGCGACGTATTCGTCAGCTCGGTTCTTGGGAGGAAAATCCACAGCATAGATAGATGAAATCCAAAAAATAAACTAATCGCAAAAACGAAATCGCGGTAACGAAAGGAATCCATTTGTAACGAAGGGAATCCATTTTTGCAAAAGGGGATCAGATCTTATACCTCCGCGGGATCGACGAAAGCCTGCGTGATGCAGGCTTGACGCAGAGTTGATGGAGCAAAGCGTGCTGATAACGTGTTCCGCAACTCCACCGGCGAGTCCGGTCCGAGGTTGCGGAGCGAGAGCGAGCGTCATAGATGAAGTAGTCGAACACGCGAAAGTAAATGACACAAAGAGATATGGAGGAGACCAACTTTATTAATCAATGATCAGATAGTACAATGATAGCTCCTCATTGTTTTATATAGGGACTCCAGGATTAAGGGATAAGTATCCACTTAACGTAAAGTGGGGGAAACGGCTGCCGCCCCGGTTTCCCAACACGTACCATGTCCTCTGGTTCGGCAATTAGCAACCTCTCTGTTGTTAGTTGTACAGTTCATGGTGCAACTTCACTTATCTGCAGTTAGCTCTACCAGTTCGTCAGTAAACTGAAGACTATAGATTGTACTAATGCATGACCGACAGAAGATTGCTCAAGTTATCAACGCTCCTTTCAGTTTCGATTTAACATAAGGTTCATTTTCAACAGTTCAAGTTTGGTTGCCCTGTTGGAGACAACGCTTTCTCGTGCCAAAAAAGCACTTTTTGGTGTCCTAAATTTTACTCCGAGCCCAAAATGTTGCCCTAAAACAGGGCAGCTATCGGAGATGCTATAAGAATAGGGGGCATCGCTCGCGCCCAAGCTCTTCCATTCCAGAATTGCGTGGCACCGGTGAAACCAAGAACAAGATTCATGCCCTATCAGGTACGACGTGCCACACAGAGCTAAGAGCTTGCGTTAACCCTGACGTGCAGTTGGAAGCCCAGCATCTCTTTTTGTCAAGTCAGTGTGATTACAATGCAACAACAGGGAGCAGCTGCAGGGTGCATCGCTCGCGCAAGCTTTTCGGAATTATGGGGTGCCCTAAAATAGAGCAGCTGCAGGGTGCATAGCTCATGCCCAAGCTTTTCGGAATTACTTGCCGCATAAATGGATATGTCTAGTCTAGATTCTAGATGCATCCATTTCTCCCACAAGTAATACCGGACGAAGGGAGTATCAGGTACGACGTGCCATACAGAGCAAGAACTTGCGTTAATGCTGACGTGCAGTTGGAAGCCCATCACCTTTTCTTGTCAAGTCAGTGTGATTACAATGCAACAACAGGAAGCAGCTGCAGCTGGGAAGGCCTCTTCCTCCCTCGAGACTCCGCCCATCCAACACTCACACTAGCTCAACCCACGGAAACCCCGCCACAGCCGGGCCGTTTTCCCCGGCGACGACAGCCATCGGCGCGTCATCTGGCACCGCCGGAGAAGGCGGTGCACAGGGTCCCGGACACTGTCTCAGTTCCAAAGCACATTCTTGCCCTGTGTGCAAAAGGGCATCGACACAACACGTTCCGTCCCTGCACCCCATCCCAAAATACGCTACTTCACACGAAGTTGAACTCCTACGTAACACCCTCCTAACTCCTCACTACCGCATCAGTATGACCACACATTACTCCTCAGGTCACCGACCGAGCAACTCTACTTTTTTACTTAGGGGCGAGCCAGCGAGCGAGCGAGCGGCTACTTCAGTGAGCGACACCGGACCCTTTTCAGCTCTGAGACCGGAGCGGAAGAACCTCCGGCATGCTTCCGGATGGCTCCGACGCAGAGAGGCCTTTTAGGACCAGAGCCGTAGCCGGCGTGCAGTCTCTTGTATTCGTTCAGCTTTATGAACTGATGGGTCATGGCCCACTGCTCGATTTGGTGTAGCGCCGACGCGTAGTCCTGGAAGCTGGGCAACTTCTCGACTCTGAAACAAACAGGGGAGGGCAGGCATAAAAACAGCAAATTTTGAATAGGTTGACGTATAGAGCATCATGTTCTATTGAAAATGCTAGGCAATCTTTCGAGCTGTAACTGAAGTATCATCATACCTTGACAAGGAGCCTTGTAGCCCGCCAAGCCTCGCATCGAAGGTTTCCAGAACCTCAGATAAGAGTTTACAGTCCTCCTCCTTTCCGGAGGTGCTTGTCTCGTTCGGTGGCCTGGCAAAAAATCACAAGATGAAGACTCTCAAAGTCATAGAAACCAGAAAGAAAGAAATTGCTGGTTATGAAAGGGTTATAGCGCTTCGACCGAACTCAGATTTTTTTTCCGCTAGATTTTTGCATAAGCCGCTCCTAAGGCACTAAAAATTAGGATGGTAGCTGGTATGTTAAACTGGGATAGCATTCAAAAGTAAAAGATGCTTACATGTTTTCACTTTGCATGAAGTTATTGGTGTCGCTGGCAAAAGGTTGAACTGGGTCAGATATATCATTGAGCATCAGTTTACAAATGTGGTACACAATGGCTTCACCGCAATCAGCAACTTTTGCTGCAAGAAGTCTCGCTGACAGAGCAGGAAGGAGACACTGAATCAAGCTGGTCGTTAAAGTAAGTCTTCTCCGAGCTCGAGAAACGAAGGTGCTATTTTCCGTCATTGCTTTTTCACCGTCAACCTGTTATGCACGATAAGTTTGTCAGTCAATATGAAATTGATGTGGCGACAACAGGCGTTTTCATGCAATATGTGAGGTATACAAGTATACAACCTTCTCAGTCAATGTGGAATCGGTCCAAGCCAACTCAGGTGTCCTGCATAGAAAGAACACAAAGCATGCATTAGCCTCTTGAACATGTATGCCAAAGCAAGTTAAACAGAAGAGCCCAAATACATGATTCCTGCAAAATAAATATGATTTTGTGAAGGACAATTTTCTAATTCCAAGCAATCACCTTCTACATTGCAGTCTCCCACCCTCGAACATGGCTTGTGCATGCGATGCTAAAACATCTGCTGTTGACCTTTTCCGCTTCTTAGACCGTGAACCCACCTCGTCATCAAACTTCATAACTGGCAAACCGCTTGGGTGTGAAGGTTTGCTTGCTGAGAGCAGGATACTTTCCTGAGGAAATCCAACGTGGCTATAATCAAGTTGTCCAACCTTCTTAAGCTCTGTTCTTCCGACAAATGCCGAGTCGGGGTCCTTGGACAAGCTCAGAGCAGGCAGCTGAACACGAACAGTCTGCGTCATGGGAAGCTGCATATCTGAATCATGTTTGCCAACTTCCTTAAGCTCTGTACCTCCAGTAAATGATGATTTCGGGTCCTCGGACAAGCTCACAGCAGGCAGCGGAACATGAATAGCCGGTGTTATGGGAGGCTGCATATCTGAATCGTGTTTGTCAACTTCCTTAAGCTCGGTTCCTCCAATAGACGACGATTTCATGTCCTCGGGTAAGCTCACGGTAGGCAGCGGAACATGACTAGCATGTGCCATGGGAAGCGGTATATCTGAATCATGTTTGTCAACTTCTTTAAGCTCTGTTCCTCTGATAAATGATGATTTCGGATCCTCGGATAAGCTCATAGCAGGCAGCTGAACACGAACAGTCTGTGTCATGGGAAGCTGAATATCTGAATCATGTTTGCCAACTTCCTTAAGCACTGTACCTCCAATAAAGGATGAGGTCGGGTCCTTGGACAAGCTCACAGCAGGCAACGGAACATGACTAGCCTGCGTTATGGGAGGCTGCATATCTGAATCATGTTTGTCGACTTCCTTAAGCTCTGTTCCTCCAACAAATGACGACTCAGAGTCCTTGGACAAGCTCGGAGCATGCAGCTGAACACGAACAGTCTGCGTCATGTGAAGCTGCATATCTGAATCATGTTTGCCAACTTCCTTAAGGTCTGTACCTCCAGAAAATGATGATTTTGGGTCCTCGGACAAGCTCACAGCAGGCAGTGGAACATGACTAGCCAGTGTTATGGGAGGCTGCATATCTGAATCATGTTTGTCAACTTCCTTAAGTTCTGTTCCTCCAATAAATGATGATTTCGTGTCCTCGGGTAAGCTCATGGTAGGCAGGGGAACATCACTAGCCTGTGCCACGGGAAGCGGTATATCTGAATCATGTTTGCCAACTTCCTTAAGCTCTGTTCCTTTGATAAATGATGATTTCGGATCCTCGGATAAGTTCATAGCAGGCAGCTGAACACAAACAGTCTGTGTCATGGGAAGCTGAATATCTGAATCATGTTTGCCGACTTCCTTAAGTTCTGTACCTCCAATAAAGGATGAGTTCGGGTCCTCGGACAAGCTCACAGCAGGCAGCAGAACATGACTAGCCTGCGTCATGGGAGGCTGCATATCTGAATCATGTTTGTCGACTTCCTTAAGCTCTGTACCTCCAACAAACGACGACTCGGAGTCCTTGGACAAGCTCGGAGTAGGCAGCTGAACATGAACAGTCTGCGTCATGGGAAGCTGCATATCTGAATCATGTTTGCCAACTTCCTTAAGCTCTGTACCTCCAGTAAATGATGATTCTGGATCCATGGACATGCTCACAGCAGGCAGCAGAACATGACTAGCCGGTGTCATGGGATGCTGCATATCTGAATCATGTCTGTCAACTTCCTTAAGCTCTGTTCCTCCAATAAATGACGATTTCGTGTCCTCATGTAAGCTCATGGTAGGCAGCGGAACATGACTAGCCTGTGCCATGGGAAGCGGTGTATCTGAATCATGTTTGTCAACTTCCTTAAGCTCTGCTCCTGCGATAAATGATGATTTCGTGTCCTCAGATAAGCTCACAGCAGGCAGCGGAACATGACTAGCCCGTGTCATGGGAAGCGGCATATCTGAATCATGTTTACGAACTTCCTTAAGCTCTGTGCCTCCAATAAAGGATGAGTTCGGTTCCTCGGACAAGCTCACAGCAGGCAGCGGAACATGACTAGCCTGTATCCTGGGAAGCTGCATGTCTGAATCATGTTTGTCAACTTCCTTAAGCTCTGTTCCTCCAATAAATGATGATTTCGGATCCTCGGATAAGCTCGTAGCAGGCAGCGGAACATGACTAGCATGTGTCATGGGAAGCTGCATATATGAATCATGTTTGTCAACTTTTTTAAGCTTTGTTCCTCCAACAAATGACGAGGTCGGGTACTCGGACAAGTTCATAGCAGGCAGCTGAACATGACTAGTCTGTGTCAAGGGAAGCTCCGTATCTGAATGATTTTGGTCAACCTTCTGAACCTCTGCTCCAATAAATGATGAGTTGGGGTCCTTGGACAAGCACGGAGCAGGCAGCTGAACAGTAGTCTGTGTCAAAGGCATCTGCATACCTGTATCATGTAGGTCAACCTTGTTAAGCTCTGTTCCAGTAAATAATGAGTTGGGGCCCTTGGACAAGCTCGGAGCAGGCAGCGGAACAGTAGTAGTCTGTGTCATGGGCGGCTGTACATCTGAATATCCAGTATCAGTTGAAGAGTGTACCATCGTACCAGGATGTGCCGCCCATACACCTTGGGTTGCCAGTGCTTCGTCGCGGTATAGGTGGCTCCTTTGACCATCCACGCCTGTTGATAAGGGTTAGCAAAATTGTCAATCAATTCCAAATTAGTATCACTAGATACACTCTGTTGCTGCTGCTGCATTGAAGTATGGCCAAAAGATAACAGGAGATCGCCATTTGTCCCCAGGCTAGTCATTGAATTGGACTCACTAACATCATTTTGACAATCCCCTAAAGGAAAAATAGTACCTGGCATGGTTTCCCATTGAGAAGCTGAAGAATAAGATAAACCACATGACTGGGAAGTAGATTGATATTGTTGAGTCCAAGAAGATCCATCAGAGACAGTTGACTCAGTCGCCCCAGCTTGTGTAATATATGGGACAGTATTAGTGATGAATGTAGCAGAAATGCTTTCCGCTAATTTAGCCTTTTTTTCAAGGTCAACAATATTTTCACTGCATTTCATCACATTTAATTATATTAAAATTTCAGAAATGCAAAATAACAAATTTGGCTATGGTGCCAAAAATATATATTTCACTCATAGAGTATTAGTTCTGGTGCTCCTAGCAGAGTAAGCTAAATCAATCAAAATGCCATTAGCTAAGAAAGCATACTGAAAATATATCTTACATTTTTTTGTTACCACTATTACTATAGGTGTTTCCAGGCATCATTTTGCTGTTTCAGCAACAGCAGAAAGAAGCATTGGCATTAATAATGGAGCATCAACAACTAAACTAATAATTGCACCTTTATGTAGCAAGAGTTTCAAGATTTATATTCAATAGAATAACTACAATTCTGTGCGAGAGAGCTTGCAGGTTTCTAGTTTGAACTTAAAAGGAGAGGGGGAAATCAAGACTTCAGTCACATAGTCACAGCAATGATAAGATGAGATTGCAAAATTTCCGTTTACCCTTTCTGTAACATTTCATATGTCTGTGCAAAGGTACCACTTGATGCTCCAAATGAATTTAGGAGTGAATCAATTTCCATTTGCTCTTCACAATCATAAAGGTTCATTTCACTATCTACAGATCCATCTGCACCATTAACAAATGAACTGAACTGTCTGTCCTGGCTTATTGTCAAATCAAAAGATTCGTCGTGGCCAGGATATCCCCCCTGTTCAGCAGAATGCATTTCACCTCGATGTTCACAAACATGGCTTGTGGTTGCTTCTTTCTGTTCATTCACTTTGAGCTCAAAAGATGATATGTCTTGATCATTATCATACAGGAGATCAGCAGAGTTATGTAAGTTATACATAGCGCTGGTATTTGTGACCGTGGTTTCAGCCTCTCCAGGGAAGGGTAAAAAGTTTGAGGTGAAAGACGGACTTGCTAAACAGCCATTGTCCCAAACAATTTGATGCTGCATGGTATTCCCACCTGAAAGTTCTGTGTTATTGAAAGTCAAGTCACTGCACTCTTCATTAGCCGCCTCCAAAGCCTGTTGCATTTGCATAAGAGCAGCCCAGGTCCCATCCTGCGTGTCTGCAATGCAGTCATCGCTTTGCATAGGGCTGCTATATGGATAACACGCAATTCCTGTGCTGCAGCTACTCCCAAATGAGATAGCTCTGTCGTCATAACCGTCCGTGTCATGAGAAGTTATTTCTTCTACATGATCAAGGCAGGAGGATGCATTAGAAGGTCTACTGCGATGTGCGGTATTTATGCCAATATTTTGCACCTGGTTTCCATCCGGTGCTAGAGGCTGAAGTGGTCTGAAAAAGTGGTCAAATTGTTGATATTCCCTGAGTGCAGCAGAAGCATTATTCAGAACAAAATCTGGAACGCTTGGTACAAATCCTTTATCTTGAAAGCCTTGCGTTGAAACTGGATAACTGTACTGGCAAGCCCGGTTAAAATATTCCTGATTAGCATCTTGTGGAAAACCAAATGTGCTTCGGTCGACTGAAAAATCTTTTGCACCAGATCCATCTACTTTTGCCAACGTTTTGGCACAGTTGCCAGACTGGAACTGCATTTTGACTGGTTGACTGGGTGACCACTGGTTTCCTGTCAAGGGAGAGTACCTACAGTCGAAAAATTAAGCATGAGAGAAATATTAGTTGAGGTCAAATGAGGGTGCATAACAGAACACTATCTATTTCCTCCTTAAAAGAGCATGTAACTCTGCTTTCTTCCCTTGAAATTATTCACATTTCAGTAACTCGGTCGATTTGCAGACATGCAAATCAGCACGAGGGCACATCTCAAAACCACATGCATTACACGACACTTGAATCTTCATCACAAAAATCATACAAACTAAATTAAATCAGAGCATTAGATCATTAACATTTCAGCAACTTGGTCGATTTGCCGACATGCAAATCGGCACGAGGGCGCATCTCAAAACCACATGCATTACACGACACTAGAATCTTCATCACAAAAATCATACAAACTAAATTAAATCAGAGCATTCGAACAGATTAGTAGGCTATAATTCAGTATCTTAATAAAAACAAACTTGCACTCCTACACTGACGGACTGACCAAGACCCCTCCTCAATTACCTATCACCACCACCAAGAATCTTCCACGCATGTGGCCAGCAAGCCAGTAAAACCAAACGCACGCCACAGCCGAATACCATCCAAAAACCACAACAGTAAGGCAGCACTCCTACCCAAAATCAGGAACCGAGCTTAACACCACCACCACACCTAATTAACTAACTAAAACCCTAAGGTACTGTTTGAGCACGCCACAAAATACGCACGCATAGAGCGCGCCCCCAGCACCGCTCGACTAGCCCGACATTGCGGAGCCGAGCCGAGCCTAACCGCTTACCCGGAGAGCCGAACCCAGATGGCCACGCAACGCAAACAAGAAGGTTTAGCGAGGAGCCGCAGGGCTTACCGAGGAATGGCGACGCGCGGCAGGCGGCGGCGCGAGGGTGGAGCTCCTCCGCGCGACCTCCCCGCGGCCGGCCGAGCTCCCCGGCTAGGGTTTTGGAGGGACGGCGCTGGTGGGTGGAGAGTGAAGTGGGGGAGAGGGAGGCGCAGCAGGGTGTCGTCAGAGCGGCGACAGGAAAGGGGAGCGGAGGCGGAGTGAAGTGGTGGGGGCGTGGTCGGGAAGACTCGCGCTTTGACTTTTCAACCCGCGTCGGACGAAAAGCGGCGGCGTGGGGGCCAGGCCGTGGGCCGTGCCGGGCCGGGCGCCCGGGCCCAAACTTTTTTTAGCCATTCAGGTGTACTGTACTGTCTTCTCTCTCGGTTTCCTGTCCTTGGTTCAGATCGTCTTTTCAGATCAGGAAAAAAAAGGAGAGATGAAGGAGGCGACGGCGTCGGGGGGCGGCGCGACGGCGACGGCGAACGACCCGAGGCAGCCGGCGACGGCGAGGCCGTACGCGCCGCCCAAGCTGTCGTCGCAGGACCTGCCCGTCGACTACGCGGGCTTCCTCGCCGTCGTCTTCGGCGTCGTCGGCGTCATGCTCCACGTACGTACTCCAAGCAAGCAAACGATCCCCACCACGCCTCCACCCTCGCGCCTCCTGTCTGTCCCCGCTCCCATCGTCTCGCCGCACCGCATCGATCTAGGTTTATCGGTAGGGAGTGGCAGCTGGGTGGGTAATTGGATCTGGGCGAGCTAGTGTCTTAGTAGTAGACAGATCTGTAGGCTCCTTCGTAGTTGGCCGAGATGTCGCGTTCGTCTTAGTAAATCCAATGCTGCTAGAACACTGTCTGATTTTGATTCGTGTTGGTCCCGTTGTGAGGTTGACTTTGCTGTGTGGTTTTGCAGTACAAGGTGTGCTCGTGGATCGCCATCATCTTCTGCGCGCAGTCGCTGGCGAACATGAAGAACTTCGAGAATGACCTCAAGCAGCTCTCCATGGCTTTCATGTGAGTTTCCTTCACATTTGTGTGGTTTATTTATTTGTTAATCTAGGATTTCAGCTAGCATACAGTTAAAATCTAGATAATCGAGCAGCAGCATATACCTACCTTTGCACTGGGTGGGTCACTTGACATCGTGTACTTGTATATTTACTGGGGATTCTCAATTGCCGTTTAGTTTTTTCTTGCAACTTGTGGTGGAATTGTGCAATTAAACAGCGTCGTAGTTTTCCCCCTTTTGGCCGTTTGCTACCAGAGCTACTTAATATTGGATTAATGATTTATGAGTTGCAACGTTGAGACAGAATAGGATTTGTGGCTTTACTCTGTAAGTCTTGATGGAAGTAAGTCAGAACGCTATTTTAGGCCTTTTGTTATGTTATTGTTAATGTTATAGAAATGCGTCTTCACATTGATCTTAAGATCACCCTGAACTTTGGTCCTTGCTGTTTTTAAGAATATTAACTTCCAATTTCTGACATGTGTGGCAGAGTTCCTAGCAAAATGCTGTCATACCGCATAGATGTTCTAACTAGACATGTCAATCCTGGGAGCTAAAAACAGTGTGTGGCTGTGGGCTAAAATATCAATCGATTATTATAGACAGCTTGTTCATTCTCTTCTAAATTCTACCAGTTGTCCAAGTACAAGAAGGAACTAATAAACTGTCACCTGATAAAGGACATTATGTGCCTTATATGGGAAGCCTTTTATTTATTCTTACAGAGTTACAATAAATTAAAGAAGTGTTTCTGTGTTGGCTTTTGCTCATCTTGTTTGGTTCTGGTGCTGGATCCTATTGATCATGTTTTGACAGTCCTTTGAACTGTCAGTGTAGGACCGTGTACTACCTCCGTCCGTGTTTATTAGCCCCCCTTGTATTTTGGGTCAAACTTTGACCTTTGATTTGACTAACAAAAAATAAGTTATATACCATAAAAATATTATCATTGGAAACCTCTTTCGAATATGAATCCAACAATATAAGTTTTGTGGCATATAACTTAAATTTTGATGGTCAAATCTACGGTCAAAATTGGGCACAAAATATGAAGGGTACCAATAAACCCGGACGGAGGTAGTACAATGGAAGGTGCTTAGAGAGTTGCTTGTAAAAATAAACCGTTTTTCTTAAGCACCAGTGCTTGTTTCTATACTAGAGGTGCCTAATTAAGCATCTGTGATATACAAATAAGCAACGGTGCTTAAGGACAAACCGGTTTGTTTTCACAAGAACCTCTCGAAGCACTTTGCATTGAACATGGCCTAAAAAGTTCTGTAAGGATGTTTACTTTCTCATGGGCTAGCAGTTGTGGCCTAGACTTCAAGATCTAGCTTTTGTTTTGTTTGGCATGCACATGAATGCCACCTTGCTGCTCTGTCATCTACTCCCTCCGTCCCAAAATTCTTGTCTTAGATTTGTCTAAATACGGATGTATCAAGTCACGTTTTAGCACTAGATACATCTGTATCTAGACAAATGTAAGACAAGAATTTTGGGACGGAGGGAGTATATTATAGTGGAATCCGGATGGAAGCTCGTTTGGGAAAAGAAACTAAACAAGTGTTAGGCAGAAGGCAAATGACATTGTGTGCTGTAGTTGTGTATTTATCAGAGCAAATTTTAGGGATGGTTTGTCTTTGCATTGTTAAGGAACAGTTATCAGCAACCTGTTCGTTCAAGCATCGATCGCATTCCCAAGCAGAATTGTATGTCTATGGTGAAACAGCAGGCTACTTGTTACAGTAAAAGGGATTGTCATGAGTAGATATTAGCTGGTTGTTAGTGTTCCATTATTGTCAGTGGAGTTGACTTATCATGGATATTAGTGAAGGTCAGTTTGGCAATGTGGTGCAAAGTAAATAAGAAGTGGAGAGCACACACTAATAATTTTGACTAATGGAAATGATTTGCTCAGTAAAGTGATATTAAAGTTGAATGCCCTTTGATGTTCTCACCATTTTGCATTTGTGGATTGGTTATCATTGTTCGTGAAACTTAGTGTAAAGGCTGCTTCCCTCTGAACCAAGTGGAAATGTAATTCCATGTGCCAATAGGATATTTAGGATAGCAGGAACTGTGTTCAAGGTACTTCATATATCCACTTATCATTTGGGGTTTGGATGTTTGCTCTTTATCACCACCCAAGTATCTACTCTTATCTATCTGTTTGTTTACTTGGTAGAGTTGAGAGATAAAGGATAAAGATGGGTTTTAGCATGAAAACATCATCTACTAACTGAACAACATGTCTCAAGCCACTATTATGAATAGAGATAGGAAGGGGGCCTACATAGGAAAACAATCTCCATCTGCCCATCCCCAAAGAAATTTTGATGCGTAGTTTCAGTGGGTAGTATTTTCACTTTCCATAGCCAGTTGTGCTTTACCAAAACAATTATCCACATCCCCTAGAAAAAACATATCCACATACCATGCTTTGTCTACAGTTTCCGATATCTTGTTTTACTAGTGCTATAGTATTTGGCCCTTGATTTCCTGATGTAAGTTCATAAAAAGAAATAGTGGCTTATTTATTCAACTGAAATTTGCAATATTGCCAGGTTTGCTGTCATGGGTTTGGTGACGAACTATTTCGGGCCTCGCCCAGGCGGCACAAAACGCTAATCTGCACACCATGCGCCATATGAAGTTTCCTGTTAAATTTTTGGTGCCTCGAAGCTACTGGCATGGTGGCGCCCACCCACACTTCCGAATCATTGAGTCGGGCACGCGTCAAATGTACCACCTCATTTGTAGGGACCAAGACATGTATCATGATGCTCAGTAATCTATTTGCACGGTACTTGTTCTTCCAGTTTTATTATAAAGATAGTTGAAGGGTCTTTGCCTACATCACCACATTGATCAATCTCCTGTGAGCTTCTGGTTTTGTATTGTTTCATTTATCGGAGCAGCAATCACTTTTCCTCTCATGCATGATCAAGATCAAATATTGTTGATGTGGCCCTTGCTTTGTCTTCTTGTGTGGGCATGCAGTCGCCGCTCAGAAGAAACCTCTACTTATTCATTCAAAGAAAGGGAGCCTAACTTTACAAAATGAAATTGGAGCAAAGATGCCTCTCGGTTCTCAAACTTGTCGGCCAATCAAGTGCAGCCGTGTAAAGTGTCTAAACTACCCCTTCTCTGTGCCGTCGCCATGTGCACCACACTGGAACGCAGGTCGTATCAGAAGAAATCAACTATACAAAGCATAAACCACGGGACCAGAACTCCCCCCAAGACAAGAACTGTTTGGCCAAGCACTTCCTGCCTCCGTGTCTCACGGGGAGACAGTACTACTACGTGGGACGGTGAGGTTGCCATGGGTGGACGGTGGGACGCTACTTGCTGCCTCCTTGCTTCACCAATGGATCGCCCAGTGGCCGGTGTATTATGATAGTAACCTCTACGTATTTCTGAATATATAAGGCGTTTTTGCGGTCATACACGAACAAATAACAAAGGGATCCTAGCTACTGCTCCATCCGTTTCAAAATAGATGACCCAACTTTATACTAATTTTATATCAAAATTAATACAAAGTTGGGTCACTTATTTTGAAACAATGGGAGTACAAGACGAAGTCGAAGTGCTGTTATCGGCAAGGTTTACGATGCGTGTAAAATGATCGCAGTTCGTCAACGCTGGCAATGAGGGTGGAGTGGGTAAGATTGAGCTCTAACCGTGACCAGATAATTCAGATAGGTATGAAAAATGGTGTACTCTACTAGTAAGTAACTCTTGGCATAGCCGCCACCCTCATCATCAGCTCTGACTTTTTTTCCACAAGGCGCCAAACCCTACTTGCATCGATGAGTGCACCAGTGAATAGTGATAGCTTTTGTAGTATTGTACTACTAGTATTATTTAGCTTCTAGCTGGTCAAAAGCAACTCTGCCCGATCCCCTATCCAGCTGTGGAGGAGTGAAAATTTGGTTTTGCTCTAACCGACACCTGACAGATCCTAAAACTTAAAGAGGAGCAAGTTTTTTATTCCGTCTCCTATCCGACACCTAAATATACACATTCTACCTCTCTCACTCCTCCTCGCCCCCTTCCCCATCACCTCTTCACCGGCGCACCTCCTGGCAACCGCCCGTCGGCCCCGCCGCTACCTCATCGCCTCCCTTGGCCCTCGCCGCCCTTCTGCCCGACTCCGAGTCCGTTTGTCGGCCGTTGCAGTCATCGGAATCAAGGTGAAACGCCGCCGCCGTTGTTGTCAAGGTGAAACGCCGCCGCCGTCGCCATAACCACTCATCGCCATAACCGATTCGTCGGATTGCTCTTTTCTACATTTGGATCATTCAGCGTGTTTAAATTTGAATAATTCGGTTTGTAAGCTATATTCGTGATTTGCTTGAACATTCATATTTATGTTTAGTTTCTATATGTGTGTTAATATGTAGTTGCAATGTAAACTAGAATTGCATAGGTTAGAAAAAAAATTATACTCTGCTATATTTAAGGGATCAGTTAGGTCCGAGTCCGACCGAAACTTAGTGGAGTAAATATATCCCACTAAAGTTTACTCCGTCATTTACTCCTCTATTTTATAAGGGATCGGCTCCAACATAGTCTTTGGCATGCTGAACCGCACAAGGCAGACCACGACTCCAAAATAACTTCAATAAAGTTGACGTCGTTTATTGGTAGTGTAGTACTCCCTCTGTCCCATAATATAAGAGCGATTTTTACACTACGTAGTGTAAAAGCCGTTCTTATATTATGGGACGGAGGGAATATATTATAGCCAGGTCGTGTTGCCAATTAGCCACGAGCTTAAGTCTTTGCTTCCTTGGCGTGTAGTATTTTGGAGTTGCAATCGCTGTCTTTTCAAGATGGTGCTTCCTTGGCGTGTGAGTATTTTGGAGTTGCAATCACTTTCATGATCTCACTTGTACGTGTATGCAGCCACAACCGATCGCCGGTTGGTTCAAAGAAAAATCTTGCCCGATTTGGAGCTGCGCATATGATATTTCTCCCCCCAATGGCGTGGGGGCAGACAGCCGGAGGCACCAGAATCAAAGGTGAGATGACGAGAACCCGTCGTGATGGCACTGGGCATTTTCTTGGACCCGAGACATGATGGCGGCGCTTGGTTGGCTGGCTGGTCGCTCCCTTGTCGCTCTCGGCGTTTTCAACGCCTGCCCGCGTGCGCATGCGTCGCAGATCCACCATGCTCCCCAAGACATGGGCTTGTTTTGCTAGCGTATGCGTTTCTTGTACAGAGCTCACCTCACCTCACACGGTTCTCTTGCCGTACTATCAGTTTGGTTTTTGGCTAGGAAATATGGCCGGTCAGGTTGATCTCTATCGAATTCTGAATACCCGTCATTACTCGAGTGCAACACTACGCCGAGTGTTTGGCTCTCTGCCGAGTGCCAAACCACGGGCATTCGGCAAACAGATATATGTCGAGAGTAGGCGACAATGAGATGTTGTTGCCGAGTTGAAAACGCAAAGCACACGGCAAAGGAAGCGCACTTGGCAAACACAATAGATGTTGGGAGCCTCACACGGCAAAGAGATGCCATGTGGTATGTCCTAAGCCGGGGCGCTCAGCATCCCACCTGCTACTGAAACATTTTGACCTGACAAATGGGCCATAGAACCCACCTGTCACTGAAACAGTTGCAAATTATTCGACTTTTTAAATAACATAAATCTAGAAACGTTGTCTTTGCCAAGAGCTAAGCCGGGGCGCTCGACATCACACCTGCCACTGAAACACTTTGACCTCATAGATGGGTCCTATGAGCCCACCTGTCACTAAAACATTTGCAATATACTCCCTTCGTTCCAAAATAGATGACCCAACTTTATACTAACTTTAGCACAAAGTTAGGTCATCTATTTTGGAACGGAGGAAGTATATGACAACACTATTCTAATACCAGAATTAGAATAACTATTTGGATCACAGCCAGGCCCTATATATAGGAGCGACGAGCTGTTTCCGAACTCCCGAAAACCCCACCAGACCGATTACAGAAAAAAACACCCCACCCCACCCGCTTGCCCCGATCCCCACCCTGGCATCCCTCGATCCCCTTCCCCGAGCGCCGCCACCCTCCTGGATCTCGCCGTCCCGCGCGCCTCCTCCCGCCGGCTGACCTACCCAAGGCGCCCCCACCAACTCCCAACGAGAGCCTCCGCATCCCGCGAGCCCCCCGTCGGCGAGCGTCTCCCTCCTCGTCGCCGGTGTCGTGCCCCCCGCCGGCTACACGGGCGCAGAGGCTCGCCGCGTGCCCCCGCTCCGCCGCCTCAAGGACCGGGTTACAGGCCCCGGTCTCCGGCCAAGCTGTCGTTCAGGGGTCAGACGCCTTGGGAGGTCACGCCGTATCCCGCCTGCATGCGTCCCTCGCCGACGCATCTCCAACTCACCATGGACGGCTTCCTCGCCGGGCTCGATCTTCTTCTCCAGCCTCCGTTATACGAGCCTACCTTTCCTCCGGCCGCAACAGCACTCAAGCCGTTTGCCGCTGCTACCTCCGGCCGTTCAACTATGTAGCCCCAAGACGTCCACCGCCTCAGCCGCCCGGTTCCCACTGCTGCATTTGTCCATAATTTTGCACCCACTTTATTCTTAGAGATGCTAAGTGATGCTTGCCGTTCTATGCTACTGCGAACATGGTGCAGCATGGCTCGTCGATGTCGTTCAAGAAATTTGCGTCTCCACTTGGGCTCCCCTGACCCGGTGCCTCTTGTGTTCTCTGACGGTCGCGTCGGTCGACTGGTCGAGGGTGTCAAACTGTCAATCGCCAGTGGAGTTTATCGTGGGACCAGACCACCGATCGATCGAGCATGCAGCATTCCGCCTGGCCGTGCGCCGCCAGAGGCAAAGCGCAACATGTTGTGCGACATCCGTGTCGGGCTTGTCTCCGGGTCTTCCGAGAGATCGATGGATCAGATGAAGATTTCCTACGAGCTGGAGATCAAGCTCTCGTGGAAGAAATGGCCATAGCAGAACCGTGACCGGCATTGTTCGAGACGTTGCCATCGCATGCGCACTCTTTTTGCTTTGCTTTTTAGTAGGTCTTTGTTTGCATGCACGCGCTTTTCGGAAGTTAGGCCGCAGGTACTAGTGCTGCAGTGCACAGTTTGCTCACCGGCAAGCTTGGGGGTCTAAGAGGCGACCTGACATTGCCTCCAACTATCATTTAAGTTTTATTTGGTTCGGTCATCCATCCCACGCACGGAACGATGGACTACAGTCTGGAGGAGCTGGGAAGCAACAGAGCAATCAATGATCCAAATCGTCATTGGCAATAATTTAAGCAGTGGAGTTTATCTTAATATCAGTTAGTTTGTTTATCTAATATCAACCTCGCCTGAGATGTTCTCTCCGGTCTCGTGCAACAACGTTGGTTGTCCCGCTGGAGCGAATAAAGGACCGCACGAATCTCCCTTCCACCCCCTCTCTACTTACTTCATTGTTTCTAAAATTTGGTCTTGCAGTCCAATGTGACTCCAGGTTGAAGTTTGATGCATATTATACGTGATTGTTGTACATTATATCCAACTACGAATGCATAAAACTTCTTATCTGATTGCACGTGATTGTGCAGTCCAAGGTTGACTCCAGGTTGAAGATTGTAGTAATTCAAAAAAAATTGTATAGTCTC